GCCTGGTTGCCTTCATAGCATACCCATATCATGTTTTTGATATGGGTTTGATACGTATTTGGTACAAATCCATACATATCCCATATCACTTACTATGGGAAATACATGGGTTCCTTATATCATTTCATAACAACTTTGCTATGGGTAAGATAGGATTCTATATGGGAATGATCTGGGAACATGATATGGAATTCATATGGTTCTTGATGTATAAACTATGGGAATGATATGGGTGCAACAATTATCATATTATATTGGGAATGGTATGGGCACTTGTTTTCATCCCATACCAAACCCATGTTAACATCCAACATCCAAATGCTAGATGCTAACACGTGTGGGTTTGGTATGGGATGAAAACAAGTGGCCATACCATTCCAAATATACTTGCTACAGCTCAAGAAAATTGTACTGGTGGCATACATAGTTTTATTAACATGCAAAAAATCTTCAAAAACACAATACACAAATAAATAACATAGTTAATAAATAAACAAGTAATTACAAAATTGCTAACTAATTTACTATTTCTTAATAAACTTGCAAAGTTTGTCTAACTAAATTACCATGGTATAACTATATATACAAACATGCAATAATGTCAATTGCTAAGTGCTTATTAATCTATATAAATGTATCGGTATCTATAATGTCCTCAGTCCTCTCAACTTGTGGGCTTGACTACAGACTATTCAAACTCTTTGTGGACGCCTGGCTTCTACACTTTTCATGTTTATTTTTTGTATCACCTGACTTGGTGTAGGGCCTTCATTAGAAAATCTTGCAGAGCAATATGCCCACTGGTGGCAATTCCAGAACATGACAGATCCTTCTACAACTTCTATCATCTGCAGGACGAAATAATTCAAACGTCAAGATTTTGCAAAAATGATTATACTGACAGAAAATTTATACCCTATATTCTGCAGCCAAATTTCCATCAAGCATTTTTGCACCAAATTTATTATTTTACTCTGTCTAACGGAAAACAACTTTACTCTGTCAAATGCCAAATCATTATGTTTTACTATATGTCTAATGACAGACAATTTTATTTGTTAAGTGGAGAGTCTGGAACATTAATGGAACAAATATTTAATAAAATAACAAAGGACTAAAAGTAGGGCACATTGCTTCTAAATATGCCAACACAGCAGCTTTTGCGGTTAATTATTAACCTTTCAATAACCAACACTCATCTTGATGAGTAAAATCATCTGATAATTAACTATCAAAGTACTGAAGGTGGGGAGTGTTAGGATGAATTGCATCTAAATGTGTTAACAACAAACAATGCAAAATAGTCTGGTGTTAGACAGGCTTTGAAATAGAGCAGATTAGTGTGAATTGGGTCTTAATGAGTTTACACATAACACAGGGGGACAGCGAGATCAGTGGCGTAACTACTATGGGCTCGGATCGGGAGAACCTGGGGGCCCCCAACCCCAACGGGGGCCCCCAGGCTCAGGCTATAGCCTATAGAGCAACAATGCCATTCTCTGACCATCAGAATTCTGTAAAATCTCTCCCCAAAGTCTGGGAAATGGCATTTCAGAGAGTCTAGATTCAAATATTTTCTGGGTGAGCATGCTCTGGACCCACTAGAAAACTTGTGCATATATGGCGCTCGACTTGTGGCTCTGGCAATTTTACTACGGGGGCCTTCGAAAAGTTTGAACCGGGGGCCCCTTGATATAACGTTACGCCACTGAGCAAGATAACCTATCAAAGTTGTCCACTCTCTTTCACAAGTAAAATATTTGATCTGGTGTTAGACAAGGTAAAATAAAAAAGTACTGAAAGTTGGGCATATTCATCCTAACGAGTTAGTGTGAAATGTAAGTAAAGAGTCTCGTTAACTTGAATATACCATCACATAGTTAAATGTTAATTTCATAAAAAATATGGAGAATTTTCCTGGCATTACACTAAGGCTAACATATTTTAATTCATATTGACTGGTGCAATTACACCTCTCCCAATGAATTATCAATTTTAATAGGAAGGTTGCTGCTGATTTGAGCAAGTAGATAAATTTTCAAACTATATGTAATATGAGCATATAGTACTATATAGTCTATGTATAGGCATGCTTAATGTCTGCAATTAACCTTGCATATACAGTTTATAGCATATACAAATATATTAACCAATAAACATTGAAAAGTCTAATTCAAATATAAAACTCTTATAGTAGCATTTATTGAAGTATAAAAGACAGATAAATATATTTATATCAGCGTTCTAATCCATTATTGTCGCGGCAAATTCAAATTTTAAACCGATCGAAACACATGCTCGAATTTCACGAATGAATATTGGACTAGGTATTCCTTTATAATTTGCTTTATTATAAACATATACTTCCCATAGATATGGGAAGTATATGGCACAACCAAGTGTGGACTACCATATAATTCCCATATATGGGAATTATATGGGACAACCAAGTGTGTACTACCATATAATTCCCATAGGTATGGGAAGTATATGGGACAACCAAGTGTGGACTACCATATAATTCCCATATAGAATTGGTTATATGTAAAAGCATGCCATTGATATGGATTACCTATGGACCAAGTAACCCCACAGATTTCCCATAGGATTAATGGCAATGTGTTTGTTTCCATAGCTTTTCCATATCTCAATATTTAACAAATTTAGACACCATACCAATCCCACATGATATCTATACTGTTCCATATCATGCCCACATATGGGTCATATATGGCCCAAACTTTGCCATATCTTTCCCATACTTTTGCTTTGGTAAGGGTATGGTTTATCGGTAAAGAACTATAGTTTTCTTTTCAGTTTTCATAAAACTATAGTTTTCTTTTCAGTTTTCATAAAACTATAGTTTTCATAAAACTATAATCCTTTAGTTATGAAACTAAACTATATATAGTTTTCAAAAAACTATAGTTCCCTTGGCCTTGAGTATAATAAAACTACAGTTTATTGCAGACAACTATAGTTATTTTGAAGTTAACTATAGTTTTTTTTGGAAACTATAGTTTTCCACCAAAAACTATAGTTTTTCTCAAACAAACTATAGTTTTTAGTCGAAAACTATAGTTTTCAAAAAAACTATAGTTCCTTTGAGTTATAAAACTATAGTTTATTGCAGAGAAACTATAGTTATTTTGAAGTTAACTATAGTTTTTTTTGGAAACTATAGTTTTCCACCAAAAACTATAGTTTTTCTCAAAAAAACTATAGTTTTTGGTCGAAAACTATAGTTTATTTTTGTGAGTCCTTACAAGCCAAGTAAATTACATTAACACAATTTCATAATGTGCCATGCAGCTTTGTCTCAGCCAGAATGTTGGTAAAACTGTTATAAGTGAGAGTTGGTGTTTCTGTTTCCCAAAAGGAGAAGAGGTTATGAATAAAAAGAATGAGCATTTTTGGCATCTCGCTCAATAGATCTAATTGTACACAGATATTTTTGAATGTAAATGTTATACATTTATCAAACAAAAATAGGAGTTGCGAAAAATGCAACTATATCGGCCCTCTGGCAGACCAGCATTCCTTGCGGGCATTGAGCCTTGTGATGTCATTATGCATAAGGTTTATTGAAATATTTCATCACTTATAATAAATATAACAGCAAATAAGATTTTAAAGTCAAACATAATACACATCTAACATGGCTGTACACATACAGTGGAGAGAGTAGCAGGGCAACTGTCCCCCACCCAATCCCCCCCTCCCAGGAAAATTTAACTAATTTTATCATGTGATTATGATTAACACAGGGCTCCAAATCAGCCCTGTTAAGACTGGAAACCCAACTTTCAGACGATTTCAAAAGTAGGCAATTTTTTCATTAAATTTTCTAAAGTAGGTAAACAGCCATGTATGAACTAGGCTAATAAATGCGATTGGATTTAACTTGGAATAGTTGGGATAAACTGTAAAATGGGCATTCACAGACTGACAGAGCGTCAGTAAGTCACTTTATAGCGCCTTGGCCCCCGCCAGACAGCGGTAAATAGTTTTGACCTCAAAAGGTCAAAGCACTATATCATATTTCGTTGTTATTACTCTGTAATGTTATCGTCTGTCAATCCATTCACCTACTAGGTCTACAATGACATCATAGCCTACTTTCTTTCGGGTAAGAAAGCTGGGAACTACCTACTTTTTGTAAAGTAGGTAGTTCTCAGGCACCTGCGCACTATAAAGTAGGTAGTTTTTAGGCTTCTGCGCCACAAAAAGTAGGTAGTTATCAGTCTTCTTTTAATCTTTAACTCTTCTGCCATTGTAAGAACACATTGTAAGCATGCTTTACATTCCAAATGTCCAGCAACGACAGTTAAGTATAAATAATATAGTTTCATCACACGTTTCTTGCTGCTGCGTAACGCCACAAAGATAAATAGCGAGTTAGCTAACGAGAAGGGTTACCATCAAGCGTCAAGCCATGACTTATGAAGCTTGTTCTGTGCGCAGAATGATGCGAGCACGCGCGTAAAATGTTAATATCTGCAGTATAAATATCAGGGCGCTTATATAATAATTATATAAGCGCCCTGATAAATATGTTACTACCAGCTCTGCACTCTTATAGTTATACGGTATCCTATATATTAGGCAGCAAATAAGTCATTTGTGATACTGTAACTAAATTCAGGTTTTACTGTCGTAGAAAATAAGAGTAAATTACATTTTAATTTAATTTTTTTGTCTCGTTCGAGAGTTTCTCATATTCATAAAGTTATTGCACATATGTCGGTATATGAAACTTCAACTACTGTATCACGCTTCATTGCGTCATTTCAAAGTGTGCTGTGCGTCATACTGGGCGTATTGCTGAGTAACTACATAACGTCATTTTCTATAAAGGAAAAGATGACGACTCAACCGCCTTTAAATATGATGTCATTGTAGTAAATCGCGGCTATAAAAACGATAAGAATTACAAGTTTACTCAGTCTTATGTGTGCAAGTGAAAAAAAAGTGTAAAAGAAGATTTTAATTTAAAAGCCATGCTTAGAGCGGGGAACTACCGATCTAACATTAGAAGATGTCCTCTAATGAATTGTTCGTATCATAATTTTCGCCTCGACAATTTGAAGAAGCACCTCAGATCGAATCGGCATAAAATTAACAATGAGGACGTCGTAAATAGAATTTTGGAAATGGTAAGAAGCAATTCACTCCCCGAAGAAACCCTTCTACGTGTTCAAAATGACAACATTGTTCAAGTTACAGTGGGCTCACAGCTTGAAAGAACGGCATCCACGATTCCAACTGCGATGCAATCGGCCCAAGAGCAGAATGCCGGTGGTTCAGAAGTTCTTCAGAGTTCAACAGCCACTCAGAACTCGCGTAATCCAACTGCTGATGATGGTGAGTTGATGTGTGACCAAAGACAATCCAGTGAGCAACTGCCACCTAGACAACTATCTCAAAGAGTGAGAGCACCGCCCGGAGACGATAATTCATTGGCAGAAGCGGTTGCGTCTTTACACGCTGCTATCCAGAAAATCAAAATTAATGAAAGGGACATGAAAACGCTACTTGAACAAACAAAATCAGTTCTTGAAAGTAAAATTTCTGAAATAGATCAGCGTTTGGAAAAGACTGATACGATTACCACTAACGTTGACAGCACTACACGATCATTGGTTCAGTTGCAAACAACGTATTCCTGGCTTCAAGTAAAGTTGCAGGTGCCACCAAGTGTCCCGTTAGGCGCATGTAGTTTGTGTCAGCGCCACTCCTTACAAATACGCCAACATCGTGGTTATTCTAGCATGCAAAATTGGCTCAATTGTTCTGTTGTACTTGATAGCGATCATCGCGCACAAAAAGTTAAGCTACACGAACAGTCCGAATGCCATAAGATCTGTAAGTCAGAGGAACAACAAAGGAAAAAGAATGCAATTCTTTTCACCTCCCAAATTAAATTTTAAAAAAAGAAGCGGACATTACTGAGAGATTCCTTCTGTGATGTTACGGATTGATACAGTGCCATGTACCATATAACAGATATCCATTTATTACATATCTACACCATCTACAGGGAGTCGAAGTGGGAAACCGCCACCTAACCGATATGGCGATGGCCAGCGCTACTTACTGCATTTATGATGTGCAGTTACGTTCTTTGGTGAAATTTATTAATACTCCCAATCCCTCTACTGGTCGTCTTCGACATTGCCATTTATCGTTCGATAAAGTCACGGTCGAGCACGTTACACGTCAAGTAGTCAACCTCAGACTTCTTGATCTCAATGGTGAACCTGTCTGCGTCAATGGTAATCAGAGTGTCATTTCCCGCCACGAAGATCCCGTGCCTGACTATACCATCAGTCTCAGAGATACCCCCGTCGGAGACCATTCGAGTGACGCAAGAGGTGTGTTCTGCCATGTCCACGACTTTCTACGCAAACAATTAACAATGTCTGACGAAACTATTGGGAAGGTAGTCACTTCATCATCTTCAGACTGCGAGGCTGTTTACGTTGGTGAAATTCAAGGCCTACAACGCCTTTGGAAAGAGAAATTCAATAAAGCCCATATTCATTTTGGTGACAGAGCACACAAGATCGAATCGATGATAGGGAGCATACGCAAAGATACAGAAATGAAATGGCTTGACGGCACTCTGTCTAAATTGGACAATATAATTTCAAAAGTTTGTCAGTCACCAAAGCAACACAGAGAACTGAGACATACGGCAACCCTTAGTCATTCATTGGTTAAAAGCATGAAAAGACTAGTCGAAACAAGGTTTATCCGTTATTTGGTCGGTTCGATTGATGCTGTCTTAACCAACGCCTATGTCCTGGAGCTGCTGTGGCAACAACAAGCTGCGGACGGAGATAACGAAGTTCGTGGTCATTTAAAGAATCTAGTAGATCCTCTTTTTCTTCCAACTTTGGTCATACTAGCTGACGTGTTTAGCCAGTCCGCATTCGCTAGTGAGATAGCTCAATCGGACATATATCCATTGTGGGACGATAAAGCCAATGTTGAAAGGTTTCTTCAGAAAGTAAAAAAAATAAACAAAGTGTCTGTTTTGGAAAACCCACTGAACAAACGTCTACGACTTCATCACGCAAGTATAAAGAATGGTGTTTTTACACCGAATGCTGGTAAACCAGACCAACAAGTAAATCTATTGCAACGTGACATCCAATTTCGACCTCGAGTAAGAGGCCACCAGCAAATCTTAACGCCGGATGAGATAACTGCAACTGTTGAAGATAGACTCAAACAGTTAACCACGGCTGTCTTAAAAGAAGCACCACGATTCCTAGCCCTGACTGAACGAGAGCAGCACATTGTGAATATGTTTGATATCAGATCCTTCAATTTCCATAACCCTGTAAGTTTACGTGAACAATTTAACAACGCATTCCTTGCATTCGCCAGTCATCTAAACAATGGTAAACTTTCATTTCCTCGAGAACGGTGTGGTGAAGCGTGTACTGGAATAAAATGTTCCTGCCTTTTAGACCAGTACATAGCTTTCAAAGAAAGAGTTCGGGACAACAAGGAGCGATTTGAGGACGCCTGGTTTACGAAAAATGAGGCAGGCCAAGTAAAATGGGACATAACAAGTGTTTTGAGCTATTTTCAGAAAACTGAATTTGGCTTGCATGAACAGATTCCAGATGTAGTCGAAATGATAGAAATATGTCTCATTATGTCAAGGTCGCAATCTGATACAGAACGATTTGGTAAATTGATGAAAGATGTCTCAGAGAAACGATTCGGTGGGAAGTTCAATGAAACGCAGCATGACCAAGATAAAAGGGATAGGGTTAACGAAGAAACCTTCATCTATGGCAATTCTGTCCCCCTCCATTCACTTCCCCTTGAAGATTTGCGAAAGGAATGGGCAAAGTCTCATTTACCTGCCATTTTACGCACAAACCCAGGGAAAGAGAGTTCTACTCTAAAGACTTTAAGAAATATCGAACAAAAGATAGGATTTTGGTTTGATAACAAAAGTTAATAGTAGTATATAACTATATATCGATTTCAGTTTCTTCTAACCTTAGCCTTAACACTGCCTGATCCAAATAGAAAATAAATTATTGTAAAATTTAAATTATTAATTTCCGAATAAAATAGATGTCTAAAAAAACCTATCCGATTTTCAAATTGTAGATAAAGTGGTGTGTCGCTTGTTATTACTTGTTCTGCAGACATTAAACAATGAAGTCATTCGTAATGCAAACAAAAAATGTCAACGAAAAATCAGCTTTAATTGATCTTTTCAAAAACACCTATAGTAGGCCATCAGATCCAAAACTAGGCTGTCACCCGGGAACCCCAGGCACAAGAAAAAGTCCCTTTGGAGCCCTGATTAACAGATAATTAAAAACTCTTTAATAATTCATGAAGAAAACACAAAGAAAAATAACCTTAATCTTTGCTTCTATAAACACTACACTTGATGACAGCTTATGTACTTGCACTGTTGTTTTGAACAGAGTTCAACAGTGATACGGGACCAAGATTTAATTCAATATCTCCTGAAAAGCTTCCTTTGATATCTTTCATTGGCAATATTGCCTGTTATGTTTTGACAATTTGACTACATGTTTAAGTGGTTGTTTGCACATGACGTCACAGCCGCCATATTGGTGTTCCAATTCTAAATCATTTTAAAATTTAATAGACTCTTTTGTCTGGAACACCAACATGGCTGCCATGGCTTTTGACGAGTTGGTCACATGCTAACTTCATTGTTCAGTTCACCAGTTCCTTGCAAGAAAATACAATACACGACTCCACTTGTGGAGAGATATGTACACATGGCACATCAAACAAAAAGATCAATATAGTCTAATATACAGTAGATCATTAACTACAGAATAATGTAAATTAAACAAAGTTGCATTTCTCAAAAAATATCTATACAGTCTAATATACAGTAGACCATTAACTACTGAATATAAATGTAAATTAAACAAAATTACATTTCCCAACAAAAATGTCAATACAGTCTAATATACAGTACTAGTAGATTATCCCCGAGCCGACAGCGCTAAGTGCCGTGCGAGGGTACTAATTCCCCCCGGCTATTTACACCTGGGGAAGGGAAGCATTAGCGAAGTCTAAAGTTCATCAATCATCACGGGCGTGGGTCACCAATTGTGGGTGGTCATCCTCACTGATCTCAAAAATATGGCTGTTTGCCAGGAGTGGGATAATCAAGATTTCAATTTTCAAAGGCATATATTTGGAAAATCACGTTTCACACAATGAGTTTTGAAGAAATTTTTGTTTGAAAGTTGTTTTTTTTTAAATTTTTTTTATTAACTTTACAATCATATTATATAAAAAATACACATACAGCTATGATTGAAGGATTGGACAACAGAACTAGAATCCCATACTAAGTCCATCCATCTAACATTAAAACACGACATGACATATTACGGACTGCAAACTGGACAACGTAAATACTGATTTTACAGGCCTTTATACTATATAAAACATGCAAGAATAAATACATAACTACACTACTGTGAAATTATTTGTGAGGTTCAGTTTTGACCCCCCCACCACCACCACCAGCACCACTAGTTGGAAACCACTAACCACTTACATGCAAACCAGGTCAGCGTGAGGTAGTGATAGCGGTAATAGAAGTCAAAAGTGAGTCCAGCCATTTTACGCCAGACTTTAGTCCTAACAACACGTATTTTACAATATAAACATGCAAGAATAAACACCACACTATCAAAATTATTTGCGAGGTTCAGATTTGACCACCACCACCATCATCACTAGTTGGAACCACTAACCACTTACATGCAAACTAGGTCAGCGCGAGGTGGTGATGATGGTAGTGTAAGTCAAACCCAAAAACCTTGCTATTTAACACCAGACCAGCTACGAACAGCAGGTGATATTGCTCGAGCAACATTTCAAGCAAATAGTTTTCCATGTCCTTGGATGCTCAACATCAAAGTCCGAGTTTAGTTTATTAAGATAATGAGTATATAGTTTGGATTTGAATATAGCGCAAGAGTTCGATGACTTGATATGACTAGGCAGATTATTCCATAGTAGTATTATTCTGTTAAAGTAGGATGATCTGAAGGTTGAGGATTTACAAAGGTTAGGTAGGCATAGGTCGGATGAACTGAAACGAGTAGTGTGAAGGGAAGGTTGAGTGGAATATTGTTCTATATCTACTTCGTAGCCACCAGATTTGCATTAATAGTAAAATGTTAGATCTTTAATTTCAAACCAAGATCTTTAATTTCGCAAGAATCTAAAAAACGTTTCTCGAAATACCCCATAGACAAATTTGCGAAACCTGGTGAAATTTAGTCCCAATAGCCGTTCCCAATTTTTGTCGAAACATATTCTCATCAAATTAAAAAAAAATTTTCCAAAGCAAATTTGGCAAGTGAGATCAAATCATTGACCGGCAAATCCTTTTCTGCCTTATTCATAACTAATCTGAGAGCCTCAAGACCTTCGCTGTGTGCTATATGAGGATACAATCCCACTACATCCATCGTGCACAAAATTGCAGTCAATGAGATATGACCTAAGTCGTCCAAACGTTGCAAAAAATGTGTACTATCCTTTATTACAGATGGCACACCTTCCACCAATGGTTGAATATGAAAATCCAGAAACTCTGACACTCGTTCTGTAGCTGTACCACAGTTAGATATAACCGGTCTACCTGGCACATTTACAAGCCGCTTGTGAATTTTAGACAATAAATAAAATCTACCCAACCATGGTCTCGGCACAACGAGGTATTCTAAGTTTTTACTCGAAATATAACCTTTATCTATGGTTTAACTTGATCTGAAAAACTCCACCGAAGCTGGATATCTCCTAAACAATCGCTGTGTCTTATTTTCTGTGCGCAGTAATGCAAAGTTATTTCTCATGATGGCCGTTGGCAAAAAACCAATGGACATTACTTTTCTAATGAGCCTCTTTGCACGCTTGTGGTTTCGACAGGCCCGTGTCAAACCAAGTTCTTTGACATGGTGCCAGAGAGACTGGTTAAAATGAGAAATAGCATCCCTCTATTCTGGTGTTAGGTAGTTCTGTCTGGATAGCAGTGATTAGGGCTTGCTCAAAATCGCACACAATTGCCTCGGGTTCCCATTCACTTCCAGTCGCATGCCAAATTGTATGCTGGAGAACTTACAACACTTGCCTATAATGGCCAATCGCCTTATTTGTCATAAGTACGATGGCTAGTGGCAATTCTCGTCCGTAGTACTCGCCAAGTATGGTGAAAACTTGCTCGTATGGTCGTGGGGCTGTGCGAAAAGTTGCATCCATGTATAATTGTTGACATTCATCAAGCACACAAAGATTTCTTTGAGTGCTGAAAATAGCAATGCCCCAATCATTGTCCTGATGATGTAGCAGGAACCTTTTGTTTCTCAATGATTGTGCCCAGGAACCTTTGATGTTCACGTCGTCGATATCTTGAGGCATGTCAGGCACTTCAGCCGATTTCACCCTTGACATTTGTGACCGAATGGATTGGAAATCAGGAAACCCTTCCAATGCCTCTCGCACCTGTGATTATCCTAGCCATCCAATTTGACTCGTAGCGTCCTTGATCTTGATCCTAAACTTGACATTCACCTGACTAAAACTGCACTGTTACAAGCTTTAAATATAATCAAATTAAAACATCGATAATAATCGAGTATAACATGATTGGCCGGATTGCTTGTTGAAGTGTTATATTATATAAGTAAGAGTTGGTGTTACTGATCACCCAAAAGAAAGTAAGACTAAGAATAGAAAGTCCTTACAAGCCAAGTAAATTATAATTGTTTTTGTTTGTGGAAACACCACGTAAATTTATTACTGCAAAGCTTTTGATCCATAAGCCCGGATCTTCATCAGTGCTAATAATATGTGACTTGTTTAATTCACACGCTTTTTTTATACACAAGAGTGTCGTGATCTGTTCGCTCGCGTCATTTGAAATTTAATTAAACGGCACATCAACCACGTCATTTCAAAACGTAGTGAAGTGATTCCAATTAACGCGTGTGCATCCAAGACAAGAGAAATTAATTTTGCACATTAAAGAGAGCACGCCACGTACTATCTAGTGGCTTTCCCTCCTGATCTATACTATTGTGCTTCTCAATTTCAATTGACTCTCTCATTTTGCGAGAGAACTTATGACTATCAATCGCCAAAATGGTTGCTTCGTCCCATTTTATACGATGGTCGTAAGTCCAAGTATGTTTAGCCACAGCAGATTTATCTGTCAAGCCATAGACAAATCAGTGACAACTGAACTGAGAGGTAAGTAAGTCGATGGTCTGGGCCCCCATCAGTATAAGCCAAAAGAATTGGCTTGTTGATCTTCATGCTGGTCATTTTCCCTTTAAGTTCGGCCATGTGTCTCATCGGTGAAGATGGTTGGAATGAGTTTTCTTTAAACGATACACAAACTTGACCTGTGTAGAATGATTCATCAATGTGATCAGGAACCTGGCTAAAAAGATTGACACTCAGAGTCATACTTATCCTGGTGAAATTGTGATCTGCAACAACAAGCTTCGTCCCTATGGCAACAAGAACTTGCTTGCCACGCTCCACTGCCGCAACAGGACAATTAGGTTCACCAACTTTGATGGTATGTTTGTCGTCCATGCTGACAAACACAAGATGTTCCTTAAATTTGATGCTGAACTCCTTTTCGTAACGAAATAGCGCAGAAGCGTAGTGAGCATCAACATGCTCAGCTCTGAACTGTCGCGCCTGGACCATGAACTTTAGCTTCAACTTCTCTGTGTAACGAGCAGCAGTCCTGGCGGTTGCTCGACGTGGCCAGAACTGAAGCCGCAACCACTGAATGCTTGGAATTTTGGTCCCCTCCTCGCATCGCTTGACCACTTTATCACAAAGATCTCTTACACTGAGAGCTGTTGCCAGGTGTGTGATGACTTCATTGTCAGAAACTGCATCATGGCGTCAGTCATCAACAGCTGTCTCAATACTCGCGCTGATGGTTTCTCGACATTTATTGAGGAAATCATCATATTCTAGAGGGCGCCCTTGGTTGCAATGTCGACAGTCCCAAAGTAAGTCAGGGTCCTGCTCATCAACAACTTGTTCAAGACGGCGGTCTACTTCAGCTTCTTGTAAAGTTTCTGCTGCAGAGCAGTCACCTTTTTTCAAAGAAAACATGAAACATGAAATAATAGTAAACGAAAAAATATATGATTGTTTGTGTGCGTAACTATTTGAGTCATTCTACAATCCATCACTGTCAAAGTTGCCGGAAAAATGTAATTCAATGAATTTTATCTGCACTATTTTAATATATTGCACTATTTAACTATTTACAGATCATCTAATGACATCATATCCAGCAACTTTAAGTTGACAAAATTGATAAAAGATGAGGTTTTTACTGCAAACATACCATAGCAAAAAATATAATTGGTGTTTGGGGCACGTTAAAGTATCTAGGTAGAGAAAAAACATAGCATTTTCTTTTATTTAATATACCCAGACACAGTTTCTGGTGTAATAGGGTCAGGGTGTGTATTTCGGACAGGTAAAACATGAAGTACATGTCCCTGCTAACACCCTGAGAGAGGCACAAGTATGTAATAAAAAGCATTGGATCCGAATTTATAAACAGAGATACTGAAAGAAAAAGTTCTTTAGGTCGATTAAATTAAACAAACCTGTCAAGGTCCGGTAGGCATACCGCAAAACTGCTTTGTTAGCAACAAGTCCAAACAACTGGACAAATTCCCGTCTCATTGCTCTTGAGTGGAACTTTTTAATATCTTGATGTATCTGTGTAGCAACATCATGGGCTTTGTTGATAGCTTCCTCTACTGTCAAGCTGTCATCGATTCTGCACAAAAAATGTAAAGTTCGTGCCCCACTGGTTTCTGCGATCATCAGGGCTCTCATTGGCAGCTTCAGGTTTGTGACAAACATATACCTCTTTTCTATCTGTTGGGGAGTATTCATCAAGGAATATGCACTTCCATAGTTCTTTTTCCATCAAAACTCTTACTACATCTCTATATATTTCAATTTCCTCTTCCCACTTTTCAATCACTTTCAGGTACCTATCATTCTTCACAACCATCGACGACCTGTTTTCCTTGACCTAGAAGAAAATAACAGAATTACTTTTAGAAATTAACAGCTTAGTAAATTGACATGTTTTATCCATTCATAAAGGAAATAGTTGCTGTAAAACCATGACGACTGAGCTGGGCTTTAATATTTGTTGCTGTAAATATGTATATAAATATTTTCCAGAAAAATTTTACTCACCCTTTTCGCTTGTGATCGCAAGTACATGCAGTAGTTTGACATGGAGTTGGCAAGAATGGCAATTGTGTCACGGATTTCTTTCCAGATGAACTTCTTTATATATGGAGCCGATAGAATGTCGAATAGCCTCTGGCTATATTCCCTCAATTTCTCTTCAGACATACACGATTAATCAATCGGTCGTTTCTTGGCTTCTACATCTTTTCGTAATCCACAAAATCGTATGGAATGGAACAGCCCCTAGATTCCAGTGTTGCATGATTTTTGTCTATGTGCCAAAGGGCATCACTTAATCCATTCACAAAGGACCATGCATCAGTTTGGTTGTCTGGTGTCCATCCCAGGCCCTCTTCCTCAATCCAGTCAAAGATTGTGTTTTTCAACTTGACAAGTCCAGGAAACTTCTTGCTATTTATTTGTGGAGGAACAATTAACTCCTACCTGGCATTCATCAGAAAACTTGTGACATTGGGTTCAGTGTTTTGTACTTGAGTACTATCGACCATGTTGCTGTTGTTTGAAAGATCTGACAACATAAATCGAACATAGTTGTTAGGCGAAATGTCCAAGACAGTTGCTGATTTTGAAACACTGGTTAGATCGTCCTTTGACTTCCCAACGGAGACGGTTAACAGCTTTCCCCCTCCAACTTCGTCTTCATCTAAAGGTTGATGACATTCGTCCAGCTCACCAGCAGCAAATGCATTAAAAAGTGCGAGTAAACTGATGTTTATGTCCTCTATCTTTGCGCCATACCAGTCTGTGAGGAGAGTAACGCGTCCCTTTTTTGCTATAGTGCAAAATATAAGCGGCATACCAAAAAATGACTGAAATATTTCTACCATATCAGTGATATTGAATATTAATCAGTGATATTTTTACTGATGTACGTCTGTTGCAAAGGCCGCCATTTTGATATCAGAACCTTGTAACCAGGCCCACATGCTCCTAGCCTGCGTGGCAGGCCCTCAATTTTATGGGGGGCCTGATTTGCAGCGGGTAGGATTTTGGGGGAAATTCAAATATTAAATTATAAAACAGTTTTGAATTAAACTGTAAAACCAAGAGATTTCCATTAAAAAAATTCAGAGGCCGCAAAAATCGAGAGGCGGGCGGTGATGCTAACCAAGTATTTTTTTTTATTTGGCCTTACATTAACACAACTTTCATAATGTGCCATGTGGCTTAGTGGCAGCCGGAATGTTGGTACAACTGTTATAAGTAAGAGTTGGTGTTATGGTGTTACTGCTACCCAGAAGAGAAAAAGACTAAGAATAAAAAGCCTAGGTCCTTACAAGCCAAGTAAGTTACATTAACACATTATCTTCATAATGTGTCGTGCAGCTTTGTCTTAGCTGGAATCTTTGTAAAACTGTTATAAGTAAGAGTTTTAGTGTTACTGTTCCCCTAAAGAGAAAAAGCCTAAGAATAGAAAGCCTGAGTCCTTACAAGCCAAGTAAATTACATTAACACAATTTCATAATGTGCCATGCAGCTTTGTCTCAGCCAGAATGTTGGTAAAACTGTTATAAGTAAGAGTTGGTGTTTCTGTTTCCCAAAAGGAGAAGAGGTTATGAATAAAAAGAATTAGGATTTTTGCAGAGTTCCAAATGCGGCCCTTTAAGCCTGGAAACCCCACTTTCAGAAAGTTTCCAATTTAGGCAATTAATTTGTAAACTTTCCAAAATTAGGCAGGAAGTAAAGAACAAACTAGGCTTTGAATAATGGCAGTGAAAGGTTGCAGTAAACTGTTAAATATGCATTGAAATCTATCATAATAATTTATATATTTTAGAATTTTTAAATAGTTTATAAGCAGCTTACGCATTGCCTTCACAACTGCATATATGTGTTATATGTATACCCTGATGGCTGATCTAAAAGGCTTAAGATAGTCAGATCATGTTTCATTGTAATCTTATTATGATTGTCAACGCATTGGCTTCCAACCGTGACAAGACGTCATTGCCTATTTTGTTATGCGAGAAAACTGGAAACAACCTAGTTTTAATGACTCTAGGTTGTTCTCAGGCTCTTGCACACTAAAAACTAGGTTGTTTCTAGGCCCTGCGCACTAAAAACTATGTTGTTTCTAGGCCCTTGCGCACTAAAAACTAGGTTGTTCTCAATCTTCTCAAGCAGCCAAACTCCTCGGTCAAGTAAACATCTGCATGCCTAACATATCTAGCTATTTGGCATTATAATAATTTGCGTTCAAAGATTTAAGGTATAGATTGACTCATTAATAGAACAACACACTTTTTGTCTTGTGTCTAATATAAGTATTGTTTGATCGTAATTGTCATTACTTATTGTAAAGTTCTATAGAGGAACAGCATTGTCACTGTCGTGATAAGTGTCTTGTATAAAAGTAAATTCAGCTTGATGTAGCAAAGATTTCAATATATAATATATTATTCATTTCGTGATGATGACTATAGTTTAGTCGAAACGTCAAAATGCTTTCAATTTTCCGAGTATCTATTGTTTTGTATTTTATAATACTGCATACAGTATTCTGATTTTCAACAACATTGTCTGGCGTATCTTGCCCTCCGTTATATTAATAACAGCTTCAGAGATGAATACTAAGTCTATAGGTGATCTTAATTTAATCTTGATGTTATAAAGCTAGAATTATATTCACTGGTGCATTGTTGAATATGTTTAGTTGCCATAGCAAAATAAACAGACAGATTGTACGTAAGCAGCTTCATGCCTCAACGCGCGTCGTCATAGTCGTGGCCATGGGCGTTGAAATTTGTTTCGTAACTATACGCATTGCGTCATTTTCTAAAAATTGATTATGTGATGTCACCATATGAGTTATAAAACAACGAGAATTGTCGTATTTCTATTAAATTTAAGTGAACATCTCAGAGGAATATAGTAAAAAGAAAATTATATAACACCGAATTAACAATAAAATGTTAAGGGCTGGAAGCTATAAGTCCAGCATCAGACGATGTCCTTTGATAAATTGTACCTATCGAAATTTTCGGCTCGATAACTTGAAAACTCATTTGAAATCGGGAAGACATAAAATTAATAACATCGTTGTGCTAAATAAAATTTTTGAAATCATCCGAAGCAATTCTCTCCCAGAAGGAAATCTCCTCCGTGTTGAAGATAATGAAGTTATTCAAGTTGCCATGCCTATGGATTCACAGTTGAGAAACACGACATTGATCCAAGATCAAGTTGCCAGTACCAGTGGTTCAACAAGATCGCAAAGCTCAGCGGCTCCACAGGAAACACTGCATTCCCAAGATCCAATAGCCAGTATCACTGCTGACACTGATGAACAATTTACCGACCCTCTTACAGTTACAGAACCACTTCAACCACAAGCGACAGGATCGTCATCGAGTCAAGAAATTCACTCACTGCAAGAAGCTGTTGCATCTTTACACACTGCCATTCAAAAAATCAAAATTAATGAGAGGTACATGAAAACAGTTAGATGCAAAAGCGGTTCTTGAGAGCAAACTTTCTGAAAGAGATCAGCGCTTAGACAAGGCCGACAATGTGGCTACCATCGTTGATAACAGCACGCAGTCATTGGTTCAGTTGCAAATGACATATCCTTGGCTACAAGTAAAGCTCCGGTCACCACCAAATGCACCGTTAGGTCCATGTTGTCTATGTCAGCGCCATTCTTTACAAATACGTTCACTTCGTGGTTACTCCAGCATGCAGAATTGGCTCGATTGTTCTGTTGTGCTTGATAGCGATCATCGTGCGCAAAGAGTTAAAAATCATGAACAGTCAGAATGTCATAAAAGCAGCAAGGTCAGCAGAAGAACAAAGAAAAAGGAATGCTATCTTATTTTCCTCTCAAGTTGCTCAAAAGAAAGAGACGGAAGTTACAGAAAGGTTCCTTTTGCGATGTTATGGACTAATACAGTGCCATGTACCATATAACAGATATCCATTCATGACATATCTGCACCATCTTCAAGGAGTGGAGGTGGGAAACCGACACCTAACTGATATGGCTATGGCCAGTGCTTCCGATTGTATATATAACGTGCAGTTGCGATCCTTGGTGCAATTCATTCATTCACCCAACCCTTCAACTGGCCGTCTGCGGCACTGCCATCTATCATTCGACAAAGTAACAGTTGAACATATTACACGTCAAGTAGTTAATCTCAGATTCTTGGATCTTAATGGCGAACCGGTCTGTGTCAATGGAAATCAAAGTGTCATTTCTCGACATGAAGATCATGTACCAGATTACACAATCAGTCTTGGAAATATTCCCTCGGCCGATCATACCAGTGATGCAAGAGGTGTATTCTGTCATGTTTACGACTTTCTCCACAAGCAATTAGAAATGTCGAATGAAACCATCAGTCATATTGTATCTTTGTCATCTTCAGACTGTGAAGCCGTGTATACAGGTAGAATTCAGGGTCTTCAGCGTCTTTGGAAAGAGAAATTCAATCGTGCTCATCTTCATTTTGCTGACAGGGCGCACAAGATCGAATCCATGATCGGGAAGATTCGCAAAGAAGCTGAAATGAGATGGCTCGATGAAATCTTATCTCAACTGGATAGTATGATCTCAAAAATTTGCCAATCACCAAAGCAACATAGAAATCGTAGACATGCTGCAACCCTCGCTGATTCACTGGTAAAGAGTATGAAGAGGCTGGTGGAGACAAGATTTATACGTTACTTGGTTGGCTCAGTTGATGCTGTTTTA